AAGTTTCTCTCCCTAACACCAAACCTGCCCATCACTTCATCATCACCTCTGTTCCCTTCACCTACATGACCATTAACGTCTGCTCCAATCACCACTCTCTCTCTCTCTCTCCTGGGGATGCTGTTTACAACCCAATCCAGCTCATTCCAGAACTTTTTCTCTTTTTCTTCCAACTCACAGCCCACCTGTGGGGCATAACCTCTGACAACATTCATCATCACTCCTTCTATTTCTACCTTGACACACCTTGATCAACCTGTCTGACAAATAGTTTGTAGCCTTCTCGAATGTGTCTAGTCTTCCTGCCCTTCCACCTGGGTCTCCTGCACACACAAAATATCTACTTTTCTTCTCCCCATCACATCAGCTAGTTCTCTACTTTTCCCTGTCATTGTACCTACATTCAAAGTTCCAAACTTCAGACTAACACTTATTACAATAATGAAAAAAAAAAAAAAAAATCAAATCTGACATTTCTCTAGTCAGTTCAATACTCAAAAAGTTACCATTGAGTTTAACTGTAAAACCACAGTGCTATTTCATTCTCCCAGCAGAATGTAGTCACCCTTCCCTATAAAAAGGTCACTGGACGACTGGAGACTAATGGGGTTCAAGGGAGTAAAAAGCCAAGATCTCGTGAGTTATTTATATTTGTCAAGGGAAAAGAAAGCAAACAAGCACTTTGATATAAGAAACTTGAGCCAGACCAAAGAGCAGCTGACTGGAAATGAAGGAAGTCACATAATTATTATTGTTCTTCCCACATCTGATAATCATTCACTGTATTTAAAGTAATAGAAAAACATACAGCGTACTGATCGGGAAATAAAGTATATTTGCAAGCATGGTTGACCCAGTTCTTCTAAACAACATTCCTATCATGTGAGTTGCTTTGTATGGGGTTTTTTTTTTCTTTCTAAAAACAAATCTGTACCACAAATAAATAAAACTGTGAAACCCTCTGAAACGGGGGTGTCGAACTCATTTTCACCGGGGGCCACATCAGCAATACAGTTCCACTTGAAGGGCCGGTTGTAATTGGAAGACCGTATAGATTAGGGGTCCCCAACGCCCGGTGCGCGGACCAGTACCGGCCCATAAACATGTACAATAGAAATTGTACCTTTTGTATTGAAATACACCAACGTTATTTATTTCATTTAGGCTGGTCAGATATATAGATAGGTTAATTTATTTCATTTAGGCTGGTCAGATATGTAGATAGGTTAAATAATAATGTGTTGACAAATTATTTCAGTGAGGATTTTGTAGCTTTGCAGATTAAAAAAAAAAGTATTGTTCTGTTCAAACCTGTGAAGAAGAAAATGATTTTTGGAGCACTAATCATTAATGTGTAGAATTTAAACGGGCACATAGAAACTACAGCTACATGTGTTAAGAGCCATGACTGACCTGGAAGACCTGGCATCCACTAGGAGATGAGACACACGTGACTGAACGCTGGTCAACCAGATTTAGCGCCTGTAACACACACGGTCCGAAGACAAACTTCAGGCTGAAAGACAAAGACGGAAAAACAGTGAGGATTGTATTGAACAGTCTGAGAAACATCCCAACGGCCACTTTATTTATTTAAATAATTATGACATTGTTTACCCAGCTTAAGTCAATCAGAACAAATGATTGGGAGGGAGATTTGAGTGGAGTCAATAGGTCATTGGGTTTTTCAAAAGGATCGGTTTATATTCGGTTTACTGTTTATATTATATAAATTGTTAACGTTAAAATCCTATGTTTTGTTAACTGATGTTATTACTTATGCCAAACCCCAATAGCTAAAATCAATCTGTCAAAATTATTGACACTAACATTATTACTTTTTTTATTTATTTAGTTACAAAAATATTGTGATTCAATAAGTGAATTATAAATATCTCAACTGTTTAACTGCTTTTAAAACTAACTTTTTCTGCCAGATCTTTATTTTGTTTTAATGATTTGGTAGCTAGTCATGAATAATCTAGGGACTGATTGCAAGATACTGGGAAATATATAATGTGCTACATATGTAATTAAGACAAAGAAATACTAAATTGTAGTCCCTTCAAAAAGTAGCCAGTGAGATGTCCATATAATTAAGATTTAATGAAGTCTCTGAAGTAACATTAGCATTAAAAGTCAATATTTGTAATGAAAGGTATGTAGAATGTAATTATTTTTACTTACGCAAGGAGTAGGTCATCTGGAACTGCAAAAGAAAAAAACAAATCTTGAATGTTCAACAAGGCCACAAAAAGTTTTTCCTTCATTTATAACCGCCTTGTGGGGAAATAAAATAAATTAACCAAGGCAGATTTTGTTATTATTGTTCATTTTAAACAATTAAGTCATTATTTTTCATTTTAATATTCTGTTTCTATGCTGAGGCTTTATTATTTTCTCAGACAAAGGCTTTTTGGTCTTTGGCAAACAGATTCAGATGGTCTGTAAGTGAGCCCTGCTGTAGACTTATATAATATAATAAAAAACGTATTCCTTAAGGACAAAGCTAAACATAGGATGGTCTTCCTCTTTTTTCACATGAATCTTCCAAGGAAAGATAAACTTAACTACCGTTATAAAAAGTACAAAAATCCACCCCTACATATGAAGCAGAATGAATTATTCACCCAAAATATGTTGATGTAACCTATGCGAAGTTCAACAGAAGTTAAATAAGGACTGTATTGTACAAAACAATAAAATAAAGAATAATAAAAAATATTCAACATGGTCATTTTGAGGATATGATTCATAACGTTGTTACTATATATTGCAGCAAATAATAAAAAATACCTCCATGTAAATATATGTTTTAAATGGAGTAGCTTTGTATAAAAATACAGTAAGGTTGAACTGTGGTTTTTTTAGAGTTTAAAGTTAAACAGTACAGTATAAAAATACAGTAAGGTTGAACTGTGTGTTTATTTTAGAGTTTAAAGTTAAACAATACAGTAAAGTATTAAAGTAATTTAACCTGTGTGGTATTTAAAGCTACTAATACATGGTTTGAGTAGTATTCTGATACTACATGCTGCCGCATGTTTACAATAATTTAGTTCCTGCGTGGAAAATCCATTAAATGGACCACTACATTCTACAATAAATATAATTATCATCTCAGTTTTACCGATAGCAGTTAGCAGGATATGTTTATTGAGCTTACCGATGTCAAGGTGTTACAAGGAAGGAAAACACTTGTCTATAAGCAGTAACAGTGTTCCCTCGAGGATACCAACTAAACTGACATTTGTTCAACGCTAAAACATCCGTGATTCTCCCTATAATGCAACATATACTACCATAGATTTACCTAAACACGCACTATGTGTATATTTTGAGTGAATAAAGTAGAAAGAAGGGTTTGCAACTCGTGGCAAAGTTTGCATTAGGTGCTCTCATTAGTAAACAGTGCTAACGCTGTTAGCTGTAGTGCAGCAGCTGTAAATGTACACAACGTAGCTTTAAATGCGGCTATATGAGCGGAGTCTGAACCATGTTTTTGCCTTACTGTGTGACGTTGCTCGGTACGTTTTCTGAATATCTTGCAAAAGTTGTTCAGCCACTGTGTGTATAAATGACCGCATTTCTCAGGACGTTCGACTTTCGCGCCTCCACCACAGGACGCTATCAAAATATTGCAACTTCCGGTTGAAAGTTCTCCTCTCTGTTCAAAATAAAAGATCAAAAGTTTTAATTTAAAGGCTTGTCATTTTTCTGTCCAAACGACACAAAATTGTATTTTGTGTTAACATCAGTTTCTAAAGTGAATACTGCACGAGGGCTTACAACTCTTTTCTTAAGTAATCAGGAAGTACTGCATTGTGGGTACTTTAAGTCCAGGTTGTAGAGCATATTTAAACTGTTTATTACATGGGTATCTGAGATAAAGGCCTTACTGTATGTTCTAGTAACATTCTTACTTTGAGAGATCCGTTAAAATTTTCCATTCCATACAAACTATGACCCCACTTGTGCTTCAATATATTGTCTGAAAATTGTACCCTAATTCAGCAACAAACCTTCAAAGAATCAATGCTAAAAAAAAATACTTACTTTGTATTGATTGAGTTTGCTTTATAAACATCAGACTTCAGGGGATTCTGCGTGTACTTTAATCAGGTCTATTCTTCCCCCAGATTTGAGACACCAGACGATATTATTATAATTTATAGATATACTTTACAAGTGAATCACTGCTGCAACCTTTAATTCAAGCAAATAATATTGCATCCTGATTTTAGAGTAGCTCTTCTTCAAGCAAGGAGTATGAATGGAATGTATCTACTAAAACGGTCTTCTGTCCCATGATGATCAACACTATGAAGCTTTGCAGCATATTTTCTTTAGTTTGGCAGCAAAAAACCTGGATACTTCCAGTAGTCAAAAACATAAAATATCTGGCAAGAATGTACATATTTCAAGTGGCGGAGAACTGATCCACTTTATTTGATTGGTCTGAACTCATATTAGCCTACTAAGAGACATTGTGCGATACAAACATTGCATTTCAACATCGTAGAATACATGAGTTTTCAAGTCTGGATTTCAAAACACAAAAGTCATCACCATGTTTAATAGAGCTGAAAATATTCTCTAATTCGTTTACGGCTTCATGTCAGATTTCTTTAAAATTCAAGTTTGTAAACATGTAACATCCCATCTATACAGGATGAATAAAAAGATGTCGTAAAGCACAGGAGAATACAAATTTGAACATGTGCTATGATAATTCTGTTAAGATGAAAGCAAGAAACAAAGTTTGAAGTTGATTAGTTGGTGGAGCAGTGAAGTGAAAATATACCCTAAACTGTAAAGCAACTGCCATTTATGATGTTGAACAAGTATAATTCATGTCAGCTCTATGCTGTTCGTTGACAATCAAAAGCAGAAAAAGTGGTCATTTACATGACCATGCGAGCAAACATTTAACGGTACGATATACCAAAAACTGTAACTGGGATGAAAGTTTTACAAAACAAGTCCATATACCAGCAACAAGAAAAAAAAAGAAAGTTCAAAAACATCAATTTTCAGTGAGTTGTGAAAGAAAACCTAAAGCACATCTGCTTATATTCCCATGCTAGAAAATGAGCAGGCTCCACTGCAGGTAATATGTTTCATCAAAAGTTATATCACAAAAAAGTGCAATGATGGTGCATCCTTTGTGTGTGGTTAGTTTTGTCTTATTGTGTGTTGGAAAGAATCTACAGAGTTCCGTTTTTAAAGACAGTATCAAAGTAAAGAGACTAAAAACAAATACAAACATAAAATGAAGTATATCTCTGAGAAAATTACTTAAAGCTGCCTTCTTTCTCAAGTCACACAGCATGTCAAAACGACAGAAAGTTCCTGACATTGCGAAGCAGATCGTTCTGGGCAGGCTGGACACTGCAGAGACTGCAACATAGTTTACAACACGTGCAGCTCTATTTAAAAAAATAGAAGAAGAAAAAAAATAAAAATAAAAACAAAAACAAAAACAGAGAAAATAAGTCATGGCTCACTTCCGATATTCAGACTGGGTCCAGGAGTAGTCATCAGGATTATTTTGCTGTAACATTAAGCTTATATCTGACATTTCACCTTACTTCAATGACACCAGTGTTCTCAACTTGTGAAGACTTTTTTTTTTTAAGGGTTGGGCCTCAAAACACATGCAGCATCTCTGCTTAGTGGCTTAGAAATGAATCACAAACTACACTTACCAACTTTAAATGTTTATCGGTGTTTTGTCTCGTCCGTGAATGTCGACTGTGTTCAGGCTCTGGTGGTGCTTGGTAGCTGGTGTGCTGGGGCCACAATCTGTGTGCTCCTTAGTCAAGTACAAACCACAGGTCACGGCTTTCTTCGCTTAGGTGTGAAGATTTAAAATATAGGTCGGGTGATGTGGCATGAAGGTGGACTCGGAGAAACTAACTTTTCTAAATACGTTTACGCACCTTCTCTTTTCATTTAAAGTGGATCACTTTTAAAGTAACACTAAAACAATAGAAATAATCAAGGTAAGAAAGCACTGCAAAAGGTTACTCTATTTACATACAACACATTTCTTGAAGACAAAGCATATCTTTACAGAACTCAAAACAAAATTCAGAAATAATCTCTTATGTTGCTTTTCTTTTTACATATTAAGTTCTTCATCTTCTACTAGAACTCGTATCAACCCCTCGTCAAGTCTTTCGGCTGAATGAGTTCTTCCAGAACAAGTTCTGGAGAGCCCTGTCTCAGGCTGTTGCTAGTACTCCTTGTAACAGCCAGGGGGCGCCATAGCACCAGATTCAAAAAAGAAGACACCACTCCATTAACATGTCACACTTGCTAGCGAGCAAGCTTAGTTCTGGGAGGGGGTGTGTGGGGGGGGGCTGAGCAGATACACATCAGTGCAGATGTCTCTCGCAGTTCGTAGAACTCGTATGAGCAGGTCTCAGTCATCGCTGTCAGATAAGGTCTCATACTGCTCTGAGAGCAGCGATTGCCACACACGCTGCTGGGCCACCGGGGCTCCAGCTGAAGGCGGCTGCTGCTGCTGGCTCTGTATGGAAGGCGAGGCTATAGAGGTTGGAGGCGTATTACTCAATATGCGCATGGTCAATGGGTTGTAAGGGAACTGCATGGATCCTGAGGAAAAAAAAAAACAAAAAATAAGGGAAATGTAAAAATGATTAGACCTGGTATTAACCACTTTCCCTGAACATAGTAACAGTAAATATAAAAAAAATAAAAATAAAAACAAAAACAAAAACAGAGAAAATAAGTCATGGCTCACTTCCGATATTCAGACTGGGTCCAGGAGTAGTCATCAGGATTATTTTGCTGTAACATTAAGCTTATATCTGACATTTCACCTTACTTCAATGACACCAGTGTTCTCAACTTGTGAAGACTTTTTTTTTTTAAGGGTTGGGCCTCAAAACACATGCAGCATCTCTGCTTAGTGGCTTAGAAATGAATCACAAACTACACTTACCAACTTTAAATGTTTATCGGTGTTTTGTCTCGTCCGTGAATGTCGACTGTGTTCAGGCTCTGGTGGTGCTTGGTAGCTGGTGTGCTGGGGCCACAATCTGTGTGCTCCTTAGTCAAGTACAAACCACAGGTCACGGCTTTCTTCGCTTAGGTGTGAAGATTTAAAATATAGGTCGGGTGATGTGGCATGAAGGTGGACTCGGAGAAACTAACTTTTCTAAATACGTTTACGCACCTTCTCTTTTCATTTAAAGTGGATCACTTTTAAAGTAACACTAAAACAATAGAAATAATCAAGGTAAGAAAGCACTGCAAAAGGTTACTCTATTTACATACAACACATTTCTTGAAGACAAAGCATATCTTTACAGAACTCAAAACAAAATTCAGAAATAATCTCTTATGTTGCTTTTCTTTTTACATATTAAGTTCTTCATCTTCTACTAGAACTCGTATCAACCCCTCGTCAAGTCTTTCGGCTGAATGAGTTCTTCCAGAACAAGTTCTGGAGAGCCCTGTCTCAGGCTGTTGCTAGTACTCCTTGTAACAGCCAGGGGGCGCCATAGCACCAGATTCAAAAAAGAAGACACCACTCCATTAACATGTCACACTTGCTAGCGAGCAAGCTTAGTTCTGGGAGGGGGTGTGTGGGGGGGGGCTGAGCAGATACACATCAGTGCAGATGTCTCTCGCAGTTCGTAGAACTCGTATGAGCAGGTCTCAGTCATCGCTGTCAGATAAGGTCTCATACTGCTCTGAGAGCAGCGATTGCCACACACGCTGCTGGGCCACCGGGGCTCCAGCTGAAGGCGGCTGCTGCTGCTGGCTCTGTATGGAAGGCGAGGCTATAGAGGTTGGAGGCGTATTACTCAATATGCGCATGGTCAATGGGTTGTAAGGGAACTGCATGGATCCTGAGAAAAAAATAAAAAAATAAGGGAAATGTAAAAATTATTAGACCTGGTATTAACCACTTTCCCTGAACATAGTAACAGTAAATATAGTGGATCAATCCTAAGTCAAGATGTACCAGATACCAGAAGTAGAAGTACTTAAAAAAAAAAAAAAAAAAAAAAAAGTGATTTACATTGCAAATCGTGACATTTTTGTTACACTGAGAATTTTTTTTTGTAGCTCTTGTCCTTTCGTTTTATTTTTCAGGGTGGCCGATTGTCTAAAAAGCATTGACAGTAACATCATCTTAACATATACATTTTTATAAGGATTGAAAAATATTTTTGAAAAGTGGATTAATTAAGGATTAAGACTCAATGACAGGACAGTAATATAAAAATACTAATACAAAAATGAATTGTAGCCAATGGATTAGTATGAAGGACAGATGCAGATTACATTTAGAAATAATTGGAATCATGTATGTTCTAAAACGATTGGCCAACCATCAATGAAGACACATTTGACTGAAATAAGTTGCTCAAAATCGAGCTCAAAAAATACCTGTGGATGACGGCCGGTCGTCCCAACCCCATTGGGGTTGGGCCTGAGCTTGTCTGTGATAATCTCCCTCAGAGTGGACAGAGGACACCGAGGAGGGGCGTTCCCCTCCACCGTAGGACTGACTCGGATTTGGAGATTTGGATTTGCGGCTGTTAACTTTGCCCTGCTTCTGCTTCCCTGAAGATTCAAACAGAATGTGCTAGTCAGGAACAGTAGTGCCACCTCAGCATTTGCCAAAGCTCTGAAAGACTTCTGCATACCAATACTAGGTGATGAATTTGCCTCCTGCCGGCCGTCAGCACCCATGCCAGCTGAGTTATGAATGGAAACACCTCCCTGGTGCTCCTCCTGTCTCTCCTCTAAGTTTCCCATCAAAGCCTTGCGAATTATGTCTTCCAGGCCCAGGTTGCTGGCTGGATCACCGAAGGAAGGATTCCTTGGATTGATGCTACCTACAAAGACAAGCCCAACAACGTGGTTAGAACTAATAGATCAAGCATTAACTGCATAACCTGTAAACTTTCATTACTACTTACTGGAGCTGGTCACTGCAGGCAAGTTAAAAATCTCAGTGCCTGGCTGAGCATTTCCTGCATGACAATAACAAGTACAATATTTAAAATGAATACATATCACGTGTAACAGGCTTAGAAAATCAGATGGGGATTTGTTGAACACAGATGTCTTGAAGACATACATTAAAGAGAGACTGTTATATTGTCAGAAGCATACATTTTGTTTGAAGGAGGAAAATAAGATAAGACCCACTTACCAACATCAGAATCACCAACACCAGAGGTTGAGTTCAACTTACGAAAGATCTCCTGCTTTTTGGACTTCACCATTGGAGATGTGTTCTCAAGCTTTGTGAAGAAGGAAGGCAGATAGCTGACACTTCCCGGGGATCTTGAGTCACCCCTTGATCCAAATAAATAAAAAAAGAAAAAAAAAACCCATCAAAACAACCATTCAGAAACATATTTATGTGTAAAGACAGTGTGAACAAACTGATGACAATGTTATGGATGTGCAAACTTGTAGTGCATGTAATGCAGTTAATCAACAATTACAATATTATTGTCAAATTTTTAAAGATTAATCTGATTAAATATTTAATGCATTTTAGATCAAGTTACAATTGTGCACACGATATCCAATAATTCCACTTTCCGTTTACTTATTGTTGCTTTATTTTTTTTTTTTGTCAAACACATTTATCAACAGCCTTCCTTTATAAGATGAAAATGAAATGGAAAACAAAATAGAAAATGATCAGGGACTTAATGATGACAACAAACGGATGTCTACCTATGTCAATGAAAAGGGACTTAATGATGACAACAAACGGATATCTACCTATGTCAATGGAAGATGGAAAAAAAAAAACATGACACAGAGAGTCGTGTCTGTCATGAATAAAAAAAAAAAAACTTGACACAGAGAGTCGTGTCTGCCATGAATTTGTCACGTAACAGGAGGAACAATGAAGGGGCGAGAGCCAATTAGAGGTCAGGTGGGACATTTAAACTGAGCCCTAATTATGATGATTATTATGTTTTACACTCTTGGCTGGCCACTTCCTGGAATAGAAATATGAAAAAAAATTTCCATCTGTGCTGCAGAAGCTGTACCTGATCTCCGAGTTCTCAGCCTCTCGTCTTTGAGGTGGAGGTCCAGCAGCCTCCTGTTTGTCTATGCCTTGATAGCTCAGTGGTGGGGAAATCGGTTCATAGTTCTCCATGGACTTTCCTCCTCGCTCTGGAGACTTTCCGGGTCTAGACAAGATTAAAACAGTAAATAATAAGACATGTACTGCTACTGAAATTAAAATGCTCTAACGACAGGTCCAGCAGTATGGTGCCCTTACCTGGGTCTGGGTTTGTCAGAGGCATGCTCTGGTGAAACTCTGCTGGAGGATCTTTGGTGGTGCAGGGCCTGGATCTGGCTCTCAGGACTGTAGCGATTGGACACCTTAGCTCGTCCTGAAGAGGATACAAGAGGCATCGCACTCTGGAATGTTACAGAAGCAGAGGAAGACACTGGAGCACTGTCCTGATTCCGGGCAAAGTCCTGGGTTATGATGTGCTGCACAACAGGGAAAAAAAACAAACAAAAAAAACCAAAAAAACAATGACTGAATACATATTAACAGCAAATAGTAAAAAACAAACAAAACAAAAAAAACAATGACTGAATACATATGAACACCAAATAGGCAGTCTTTTATGTTGTGAATAAATTAGTATTTTCTGGAGCTATATTAATGGCAAAAACAGAAACATGTATTGTGTATTGCGACCTATCTGCTAACTGTACTTTACAACTTGCAGTCTTCTATATTGGAATTTGTATACAGTCGTACGAAAAAGTTCGGGCACCCCTGATCATTTCCAATATTTCCATTTATAATCATTGGTTGTTTGGATCTTCCAATATTTCCATTTATAAATCATTGGTTGTTTGGATCAGCAACTTCATTCCGATTTCATGACCAATTGCATGTTGTGTTTCTCTTTGAATCTCCTGTGAAGAGTGGAAAAAAAAAACACTCCGGCCGTCATCCACAGGTATTTTTTGAGCTCAATTGACAGCAACTTATTTCAGTCAAATGTGTCTTCAGATGTTGGCCAATCATATTTAGAACATACATGACTTACAAAACAGCGCTCAAATGAGCTGAAAGAAAAGATTGTTCAACATCATGGTTTAGGGGAACGCTACAAAAAGCTAGCTCAGAGATTTCAGCTGTCAGAAACTATTAGAAGTTAAAGAACAACGTCCAGAAGCTATTATTTTGGCAAAAGGAGGATCTACTAAATACTGATCTTTTTTTTTTCCTGTTGGGGTGCCCAAATTTTTGCACACCTGTGTAATTTTGTTTTGATGCATATTGCACATCTTCTGTAAGTCTAATGAAGTTTCGTTTCCTTTCTGAAATATTACTGTGTCCATTGGTTTTTTTTTTTGATAAATTGGAATGAAGTTGCTGATCCAAACACCCAATAATTTATAAATGGATATATTGGAAATTGTCAGGGGTGCCCATACTTTTTCATACGACTATATGGGAAAAATACTACGCGTGAATGCTAAATAATGTCTACACCTGCAATTCAAGTACAAACAAAGTGGATGAGTTGTTACTGCTCTCACCCTGCAGCGAAAAAGACCACCAGGTAGAACCCTGGAGGTAATTTCAAGTCTTTTTGTAAGAAGTTTTTTTTTTGTTTTTCCAAAATGTTCTCCTTGACTGTTGACTCTCCAAAAAAGTTAACTATAACCATACCTAACAGGGGTTAGGTAAATTGGACACTATAACTATCAATGTCAGTGTGAATGGCTGTATGTCTTTATATACACCATAACTATAACCATACCTAACAGGGGTTAGGTAAATTGGACACTATAACTATCAATGTCAAATGTGTGAATGGCCGTATGTCTTTATATATGGGTCATTATGATTTACTCAAGTAATTAATACACAACACCCTGATATATTAAAGGCAGTAACACATATTCATCAACGTTGCGCTTAAATACCGAAATGTGGTCTGCCAAGGTCATGGTCTTGTGATGAGTCTTGGGGATCTGAGAGTAGCCTTCCGCCTGGGATGAGGGTGGTTGCTGCAAACTGGGCTGTGGATCTCCCGGTGGCCTGTAACGACTCATGTCATAGCCCCGCATGCCAGCTGTTGAAACATGACCAGGGAGAGGTTTGTGATCAGTGGAGAGTAAAGGTGATACCAGAATTTCTGAGTCTAAAAGTAGTTCATGTGCTGTACGCCAACAGAAACCGATCTACAGCTTGCAAAAGTTACAAAAATAACTTTAACCAAGTCTGGTGACCAAACTGTCGGCTGAGGAATCCAACCGTCTCAATGAAGGGGTCAGGCAGGGTAAAGGGAAACTGTGGTTTATACCAACCCCCCTCTCACCTTTCGGTTAATTCTATTTTTACGGTTTTTATTAAGTTAAGAAACTAGCTGAATGATTCAGTCTTTTTCTGACATCAGGTCCTGAAAACTGCAGCAGCTATTTCCTGACATGGTAACAAACGGTTTTAAAATTGCAGAGACGGGTTTGCAACGTCACACTTTTGTGCAACAACAAAGGTTCTACTTCCAACATATTGTCCACTCATATGATCACACCGTCAACTGTGTACGATGTCAGACAGGAGTTCACCTTTACGGCGCTTCAAGAGCAGGAGAATCCGGATGGATGCTGGTAAGCATGCATATATTGCAGCCAGACCTAACATGGTGTAAATGTGAGTTCGTCCTGTTCTATCTGTTCTTGTATAGATATAGAAAACCATTTTTAAAAAAAAAAAGCTAGCGAGTTAAACCACTGCAATGACTGCAAGTCATTTCCGTGGACATGCATATTTATTGGACACCAGCACAGACAACCCTGGATAATGATCAAACTTTGGTGTGTGTGTGTGTTCGAATGTGACAACACCTGCTGTCTGTTGCTGTCCCTCATCTGGTTTGTCCTGTTGGTGCTGAACTGGGGAACTAGCAGGACTGATGACCTCGATGGCCCCTCCGCTCGTATTGTCATATCGATTAGACGACACTGCAGGGCCGAATAAACATTTTGTTAGTTAAGTAAAGCAAAGAGCACAGCATTACGATGACGGAAAAGGGAAACGTCTTAAAGTTCACTCCTTTTTGTGGTCGTCGCGTGTCCCTGACATGCTTACAGCTGCTCGAAGAGTCCGAGCTCTGCGATCCTCGTTCACGCGAGTCCTTGTCAGAGGCTATTTGTCGAGTGATGATGACGTCGATGAAGCTTGCGGCCGTAATTGTCGTCTTCCCGCGAGTCCGAAGCTCCTCTTCAATGCGTGCCTTTGAAGTCTGCGGTCCCTTATCCTTGGCGGTCATGCCGGGCCCCTCAGAGTAAGCGTGGGGCTTGCCTCCTGGCAGAGACATAGCACCATATGCAGACTGCATGGATCGTCTCTCGGCCTCCTGCTGCTGTTGTTCCGGAACACTGGGAGCTCGGCGTAGCGCGGCCATTGAAGACATCTCATCATCCCGTTCGTGTTTGCTCTCCTTTGACTTAGACACGTCCATTTGTGGTGCAGCGGCTGCAGCATCCACCAAAGCAGCCAAAGCATCTGCAGCTGTGCTGTGACGAGAGCCGCTCTGTGCAGCTGCCGTTGCCGCCACAGCGTTAGGCCTAGGAAAGCGAGAAAAAAAATGAACAAGTGGCTAACATTTCACACAGGAAATGCGCAACACTTGCAGTCAAAAACCGTATTCTTGACAACAATATTCATGTAAGTAATTAATCTGTTTTACTTCAAAATGCCCTTTTCCTGTAAAACCTGATCAAATTACAACAATCGCAGCTCAACATTTGAAGAACGTGTAATAACGAAACTTGCTGTTCAAATTCCTCAGAGACCTGTTTAACATTTTGAAAGTAATAACCTGGCTTCAGTGATTGGACCAGTTGACCAGAGGTTAAAAGTTCATTTAAATGGTAATGCTAATTCGGTAAGTACAAATTTGACATTTTAAATACTAAAATGTCTTGTGTGGAATCTACCATTACCATCCAAAAGTGGTCTAAGGGCAAGGCAGAGGTTCAGTTTAATGTCTTAGTAGTAAGTGGAGTGGGTTAGGTGGAAAGTGAATGACTTAGCACCTCAGTGGTAACTTGGCAGCTGGTGGACTCAAACCTGCAGCCTTTCACGACCCAAGTCTGCTTCTTTAACCACTTAGCCACCACTGTCACATAAGCCATATTTACAATTTGTAATATAGTACCTTTCTAAGGTTAAAAAAAATAAGCCATATTTACAATTTGTAATATAGCACCTTTTTAATTTCTAATTTAAAAAAAAACCCTTTAAGATACAAGCAGCCTGTGCGATGATGTAAATAAAGGGGGAAAAAAGGCTTACACTAGGGATGTGATGACACTCTTGCCTTGGAAAATGCTGGGCCTCTGTTGAACGACAACTTCTTGTGTTCTGAGCGAGGGAGAAGTAGAGTGCAGATAACTTCTACTGCCTGGTCGGCCTGGCTGCTCTGGAACACCTGACAGACACATTTGCCACAACACTATTAGAAGGAATTTTATTTTATTTTACAGTTAGATTTTGCTTCTGCTCTTATGCAACAGAACAACTCACCACCACGTAAATATTCACTGTTTCGTTCACGTTCTCTCTCACGTTCGCGCATTTCTCGCTCTCGTTCACGTTGTTCCCTTTCCCTCTCCTTTTCCCTCTCTTTCTCCAGCTGCTCCCGGTCCCGCTCCCTCTCCCGGTCCCGCTCCCTTTCTCTTTCTACACTAGCAGCAGCAGCAGCAGCAGCAATATGGGCTGGGTGACCTGTGAAGAACGACAAGCAACAAAGACATGTTAGATTTAGAAACACCAGTTAAGTGATCACAGCAGGACAATGTTGTGAATCCATCACAACACATGCAGAAATATTACATTTTGAGATACTGCTGTAAACATCTGACAAAGGTTAAAACACTGGTGATTCCCATTTATGTATTTCTATTATTTTAATCATTGAACAAATTGGCTGTAATATAACAATAATAATCTGTCAAAAGTCATTTTCTTTCAATTACATTTGAAAATAATAGAATGCTTTTATCTATCAGATCACCTGTGTTTGAGGCTTCCAAACCTGAGTATATGTCTAGTAAAAAAAAAACGAGTCAATATCAGTCAATTATTTTATCATTAATATTTCAAGGTTCCAACTCTGACAATGGTAAAACCTGTTCAGTTTTTCATTGATCCACTCAGTTCAATGTCAATACGAATACAGCAACAAACCATCTGGTCTCTCTGTAGGAACATGAGAACAAAGTGTACTGCCATGCAAGTGTTGGTTTAGTGAGTCGCTCTTCCCGGTACGACTGCAGTAAAACGGACAGAAACTGAACTTAGAACTGACCTTTGACACCTCAGGCCAACGCAGGGCTGCACTCAGAAGTGCCAAGGAACACGGTGATGGTGGTAAGGTAGATAGGGAAACGCGAGGTGGAGGGAAAGGAGGGGGCAGATTCTCACCTGGTGATATGGAGGTTGGGTTGAAAGCCCTAGGAGGAAAAGGGGGCTGAGCTCCAGGGAGGTAGGCGATGCGTTCCAAAGAGGGAGTACCTGTTCCCCCAGGGTGAGGCAACAGGATAGTTGGAGGCATCTGGGCTAGATCAATAATCCCTTTTACAGACAGAAGCAAAGGGCCAGTGGTGAACAACAACAACCAATTCATGAATTTCTGAACGTATGCGCAAGGTATACCTAGCTGCATCATTACTTCTTCGAAATACAAATTGACAAGTAATAAAGAGCTACAGAAAAAGTGGAAGTGGTCAGCCGGTAAGACGTGACCACTTAGCAGAGGGTGAGTTGGAAGACCAAACCCTTTTACTAGTAGAGCAGAGGTAGCCAAATCAGTTTGCAGCCACAATGTAAAAGAGCAAATCAGCGTAATTTTTTTCCAGGTCATTTGCTTCTGGGCGTCTGGAAAAAGGTAGCCACTACGTCACGAGCACACGATCTGCACACTACAACCACCTCCACACAGGCGCCCCCTCCCCTGCTTGACGTACAGCGTTAGGGAGGTTCAGCTGGTGGAGGGACATACCTCGTCCTCCAGCTGCGTAAGGCATTGCGACCGGCTGTTCCTTTGGTGACAACCCTCGGTTCATGTCAGGCCGAGAAATGAATGGCATATGGTGGGATGTGATATAATCGTTGAGGATGGTCTGCCGTGTGTTCTCCATGGTGTACAGCTGGTAGGTGTTGTGGTAATTTGTCGGCGACGGCTGTCTGGAGAACATGAATGCTGTGCCAGAGGACAACAGGGAAAAAAAAAACAAAACACATGAACAGAAGGCTCGCAGATAATGACTGCAGCGGTTGACGTCAATAACTGAAAAAGATCCTGCACATGTTGATGCCTATGAATGAGAGGGCCTACGTTGCTATCATTATCTCCGAAAAGACTGAAAATTCAACACTACCTGGGTCGATGACTCTGTGAAAAGCCAGTGAAGGGTCAAGATGTGGAGGCAGGTGGGGTCTGTATACTTCCCCTGGAACAACTGGCCTTTGATGGGAGTCGAAAGGGCTGTGAGAGGCCACAGGATCAGCGCTTGACACTGGGGACTTTGCCGGGATACTGTCCCTCTGTGTTGGGGTCATGGTACTTTTTCGCTCATGTGTGACAGATTTCACAGAGCTCATACCACCTTTTTGGGAAGGAAAGACAAGCACGCCCATCATATAGTTAAGCGTGTCAGTGTCATCTTAATGTTAACACATGGCTGATAACCTTGTGATGGATATACCTTCTGAAGCTCGTCCCAGCATGGGTGACCCTCTGGATGCTGGGTTGGTGCTGTAATTAACAGGGGTCCTGCGAGCATTGGCATCTTCATACATAACGGGGCTTAACTGGGATCTGCCGGCCTCCTGGTGTGTAGAGCGCAGGACGGAGGTGGAGTTGACAACACTGTGGCGCACCGGCTTGCTGTCCTCATATTTGGCCCTTTCCATTGCCTCCATTTGGGGCACATTGTGAGGAAGCTTAGTCGGACTGGTGAGCAGAGACTTGACATCATGCTTGATAGTTGCCTGAGTGAGAGGGTGGATCTGGCAGATGGAGGCATCAAATGGACCGACAGTTGTTATAAACTATTTAAACCTTGGTTTGAATTTTGTGGATATTAAACATTTGATTTAAATTGAGTTTTTTTTACCTGTGACATGGAGCCCTCGATTACTCTCCTGTCTATCATGTCAGGAGTTTTGCAGATGTCTTGGCCAGACTGGTCTTGCCGGGGAATTTCATGAATAGAGCGTCCCATTTCTTTGATAGTATTCATTCCTTCATAGGGCTTGCCTTTGGTAATACCACCTTCAAAAGACCGGATGGGCGGGCTCTCTCGCTTTATCTGCTTCCCATATTTCATTGCATCTTCATACGTCTCTGCGGCAGTTCTAGGCGTCCCTGCAATGTTTTTAAGATCAGATTTTTCCTTAACTGAATAAATAAAAGGAATGAATAAATGAATGAATAAAGAACGTTAAAGCTTTACCTAGCATGATGGATCCACCAATCACTGGTCTGTCCTTTGAATCTCCATGCATACCTTCTCTTGGCAGTGCTCTGCTAATTAAACCTAAGACGAAAAGAAAACTTAGCAAAGTCACGGCGCACAAACAGTACTGCGTACATTTTATTCATTCAGCGGCACATACCCTCAAATGGAGCGCCTTCTCTGCCACTGTGTCCCCTGCCCATGGATCCTTCAATCATGTTGTAAGTGCGTTTCATCTCGTGGCCTGTTCTGGGGCTGCGGGTGTTTTCCCTGGGGTTCTTGACAGCTTTTGGACATAAAATAAAGTCAAATCAACTCATCAAATGAGAACGTACACAATGAGTACTGCATAATTTGCTAAATATGGACACTAAAGATTAGTGTCGATCCTGCCCTGTGTTGCAGCAACACTGTTAAAATAAGGGGGGGGGGGAATGAACACGCTTTTTTGCTGCTGTGAAGAAAATAGCCCATTGGATTTATACAAAAGTCTTGCTTATGAGTACTGCTTAGTACTGCAATTTGTAGATTGGGCAGAGGTTAGATGATGATAAGATCATGTTTATGCTCATAAGGAGCAGGCACAGAACGATATAATCAAAACATTATTTACCATCAAAGGAGAGTATGTGACCACTTTTCCCTTCATAGATGACATGAGCTTTGGCCAGCTGCTCCCCTCTTGCCTTCTCCGGTATGTTCTGATCCTCTGTGGCCAGCTTTGTGATTGTGCACTTCAGGAGGTCAGCTGCAATGCTGGACTGTGGCACGGCTGGTTGTCCCTATTTTGAAAAAGAGCAAAGATATTATAAGTTGCAACCAGAGCTGACTGAATGCTCCCGCCGATGTTCTTACAATCACTCAATACCTTTTAAACTTTTCAACCAGAGTAGACGTAATAGAATAGACCGTAAAATGACAAGCTTGGATAATAACTTTATCATAATATCTGTCATGTATTTATAAATGAATCTAAACCAGGATTAAGGGGGGGGAAGAACTGCTTTTTTTAGTCTGTACCTTAGTAATTAATCCTCTGTACACCAGACCTTCACTGGATTTTGTTGGGTTTCCTCTACCATCCTGGATGGAGGAAACGGGAGCTCCTGCTACAAAGACAGATACAAGTTTATATGTGGTCCTGGTGTATTGCACTCATTGTTTATAACATTTTTTTTTCTACTGAAGTGGACAAGGCTCTTTGATATTTGCATTCCAGGCACCAATTAATACTGAACTGCTTTTTCTACTGAAGTGGACAAGGCTCTTCCATTCCATGCACCAATTAATACTGAACTGTTTTAATTATTCAATGATCAAACTGTCAAAAGTTAAAAAAGACATGGTTCCACAAAAAAAACTAAAACTTTTTTTTTTTAAACCTTTACTCAGTTACTGACTTCTACTTAAAGTAATGATTATTTTCAGTGTGGTGTTATATCTGTTACCTGGAAATAAGTATGATGATGTGATATTCTAATTGGTTTTCTTACCAGGTTTGCTGGGATCCTGTTGTCGTGGCAGACCCAGAGAGATTGAGCCTACGTTGCTCTTTGTCCCCTCTGGCCCATAGACAACATGGGGCTGAAGGTATGTACCAGGGAGACCCTAGATGAGCAGGAACAAAAACCAAGTTATTAAGAAAAGTTATTTTAGCAGAACAAGACTAAATGCTGTCTTAGACATCTGAGAGAACAAAAAAGATCTAGTAATTTGTGGCCTATACTGAGCTACTAGGCTTTACAAAGTGTACATATATATATATACACACACATATATATATATACACATATACATATATATATACACATATATAGATACATATATATACATACATATATACATACATACATACACATATACATATATACATATATACAATACATACATACATATACATACATACATATATATACATACATATATATAAATATAGAAATATATATATAGTTTTTCAGCAGGGGCTTTCTTTAATAAACAATCCTCAAAGCATGTGCTGCCAAAGTAAAGTGGACATGTTTTCTTTTACTATGTTGCCACCGGATAATATACTTTGAATTGTGTTAAAATGTCATAATGTAAGTGCAAATGTTAATTAGGGCTGTGTACGGTTGCAAAAATACACAAGCAATATAAAAAACCTATCATTTCATATTATATTCAGTCATTCATTTTATTTTGGAAAGTAAAATACATGTTGGCAATTATGCGATGTACCCGTCTACCATGCTCAACATTAGCGCATTATATCGCTCTCTGAGATCCTTAATCTCAATCCCTTCACTTTTCTGTCCCTTCTACCCATCTAGTCAACAGCTCTGGAACTCCCTGTCACCAGAACTATGCAAATCTGACTCCCTGCCCTGATTCAAATCCAAACTATACAAGTTCAAACTTATAATTTATAACTCTAACATTTTACATTCCAACTCTTTGGCTCATTTTTTTGTTACCACTTCATCTGACATCTTCTACTGTATTGTTGTGTTTAATTGCTTCACTGTATTTTTTTTATCGTTTACTTTATTTTAATTCACTTCTGTAAAGTGTCCTTGGGTCTCATGATAGGCGCAAAGCATTATTATTATTTTGAAAAATAAAAATAAAAACTTTTGCACATTTTTTAATGATGTGCAATGACATGTTACTACATTGCATGTATATTGATTTAAATAACAATAAAAATATGAATAATGTATTAACTAAGTGAATTTTTTTATGTGGTTTGAGGAAGTGAAGTCTGGAAGTTCCTTTTATAATGGCAGCAAGTGACCAGCACAGCTTTCCCCTTGTGTTATACCTGGGAGATGGAACCTCCCTGTAAGAAGGAGGGCTTGTCTGTAGGCTTGGCAGTTGGAATGAGTGGAGGAGGAGAGGGAATGTTTGGAGGCCGACTGGGTCTGCTGATTGTCATACGAACTCCATCCGGCATACCTTGGACCAGCTGGTTGGAAGAAGAATGCAGTACTAGAAGGAAACATAAAATAAAAAAAAGAAGAAGAAGAAGAAAAAGAAAAACAAGTCAGTAGAAGAAGAAGAAGAAGAAGAAAAACAAGTCACACACTACCGATCCACACCCAACATTTGGATATTTCGGAAAGAGATTGCAACACAGCCTGTGAATGTCACAACTCAACAGCTCCAATCCACCCAGCATTTGCATTAGGCTGAACATTGTATTTAGCTTCATTTAGAATGACACCTGTAAGTAAGGAAAACATATCTGACGAATGGCCTGTTCCTCAGCTTGAGGTCAGATTAGCAGCTGTATATATAGTATCTACCTTTCCTTTCTTCTTGAAATTAAGAGACATTAAGAAGACAAACTGGTGACAACTCAAAAACATACAAACAACCAAAGAGTAGGGGAATATGTCATGCTTTACAAACATCAAAATATAATATAAAAACACTTGGATTAGAATACAAAATGGAATGCAAACTAAAGAGGAACAGTGTATCACGTTAACATTCGAGCCAGACTTTACAAAGATCTAATAACTGAAAGCAATTTTTTCAGACCAAATCAACTTGCCTTTAATACAACAATGTAGCAGTAAGACAACAACAAATCTCAAATAACTGATTTTCTTGCTCCTTATGGCTAAGGAACTCTATGCAAACCAAAAGAAATCTCAGTCACACGAGAGCTTCAGGATGTAGATCCGTACAAAAAGACAATAATCAGTAATCTGTGCCTAACTTCAACAAAACTGAGTAATGAATATCATCAAATAAATAAAACCCTAAACCTGCGCCCTTGTCCTTCCCCAAAAAAATCCCCAAATTAAAAAACCACCAGTACAAATGATCCTAATTTTAAACCTTTCCCCCCCAAAAACAACAGTGAGATAACAAGGCCACCTACGGAGAATAAACGTTTTAGTCCCAAACTAAATTATATCCTGCAGCTATCTGTGCATTACATCTCTCCACTGTCAAACCTAAGAACTGCATAGAATTCTTGTGAAGCTAATTTGTATCAGCAAAGGAAGGGAGGTGACGAGAAGGCAAAGGAGTGGGAGGAAGATTTTCAAGATGTGCGCTTTACCTGGAGGCACACTGTAGCAAGAGACACCGGGGCCATTGTGGTCAGGCTGGGGTAAGGTCTTGCTTAGCTCCGGGGGAGAGTAGGTAGGGGAACCTAGCTGACCAGAATGACCCTGCAGGTCATTATTAGCATCATATCATAAGCAGCATACAGGCATAAGCCCAAAGGGAAGACAACCACTATTTAAAAAAGAAACTCATCAAGAGTGGATGGGCCTCCACATTTTATGCCGCCATTAGCAGCCGACTCCAACCTCCAATGTGTAACAAATACAACACTTTACGCTGAGCTGCAGTCTCCATAACCTCTGAGATACAATTTTTCTAAATAAAAAATAATTTGCAAAGTAAAAACTGGACAAATAAAATCAAGCCTGTAAAAGATTGTTACTTTCCTGATTATTCCAAAGAAAATGCGTAAAGCCATCCTAAATAAACAGAAACGGCCCCCAAAAAAACAATCACAGTGCTATTTCCTAATGGCAACTGAGAATGTGCAGTATGGCACAACTGCTCTGTATCCAGGTAGAAGACAGATCTTCTGAGCACATAGTTGACAAAAACAGGGCTTAAACATGCAGCTGGTTTAAATAACACAATGGCAGCTGAGAGACTAAAGGTGAGATAATGGGGGGAAAAAAGGAGGACGATGACAACAGAGGAGTGAAGCAGTAACACTTGTTTTGTTTCCCTACCGTCTCTGTCTATCACAGTGGGGCTGTGAGTGTTAAAGTGGCTCCGGTGTTCAACCTCTCCTTGATCCTGCCTCTGCTTCTCCTCCTGGTGAGCAGACTCGTGTGCTGCTTTGATTTGATGCTGCAACATGGCAAATCCACTTAGGCCAAAAGGACCAGGCACCTTTAGTATTTTAGGACGAAAAAGGGTCTAGGTTAGTTTAACTGCTAAGATACTCAGAGACTACTTAAGTGCTGACTTAATGGCACATTCATAGACCAATAGGGTTCAGGAACAACCTCCAAGCAATGATGCGATCTAGTTTCTACATTGAACATAACTAAAATGTTGGGCCAAATTTTGACAATATAAAAACAATTTCTAATTCAACAACAACAACAACAACAAGTCCAATATCAAGCTGTGATTTACCATGGGAGGGATGGCAGCTGCCCTCTGCTGCAACTGCTGGATGTTCAGCTGGGACTGCGAGGATACCAGCACTGTGCCAGGAGGGTTAAGCAATGACGGCTTTTCCGTGGCAAATAAGCTGCTGTGTTATGTAGCAAAAGTAACACGAGTCATACAGATAATACTCTAAACTAATTTGTTTTAAAAAAAAAAAAAAAAAAAAAGGAGATACTTGAGGACATGCATATAAAACTGGGGAGAGACACACCTCTGTCTTTCAGGCTCCGTTTCCACATCCTCATCAGCACTGCAGGTGGCACTGGAGTCATTATCTGAATGAAGATCTCTATGCATCTGACCGTGATCTCCCTTTTCCTTTTTGTCTTTGACTTCCGGCTCCACCTTTACCTGAACCTCCCCAGTCTTCACATCCTCGTCTTGTGGTTCCGTTTTAGGATGCAGAGAGCTTGTATAAAGAGTCATCCTGGCCTTTTCGTCTTGAGATCCGGTCTCACTCTCCGGGCTTTTCTCTTCTTTGACACAAAGCTCTCCATACGAGGGCTCCGGAGCCTTTCCATTACTGGCTTGGCCTCTGTGCTGGTCAGAGCTTGGAGTTTCTTCTGCGGCATTTTCTGTCCTCTTGGTGTCGCTAGATTTTGAGGAGTCAGCCTGAGAGGGCGAGGGCGCACTCTCTGTGTCAGAGCTGTTGTCAGCACCTAAATGAGCATAATGGAATATGTTAACACGAGCACAAGGT